TTCAACCAGTAAAATAGCCTAGTAGGAGAGGCTGTCTAACCCGCCACTGATGAAATCTACCCGCATTTGGCAGGTGTAAATGTTCACATCTAAATTCAACTCAGACTCATTCTGAAAACGTACCTCTATATACATTTCTAGAAAGCCGCAAATACGTCCCAGGAGCTACATTTTTTATTTTCACAAATTCACCAGGCCGTTGTGTATGCATTTGAGATCTAAAATTTCCCTCATGAGTGCCATTTAAGCCTGTTCTTCTTGCTTAAATCAACCAGAGGCCGCTGTCAACTGACTGTTTGACTGACTAAGTGACTGACTGACCAACCAATCCCCCCAACCTCCTCCTTCCCTAAACCCAACCAACAGTGTTTTCAAAAGCACTGATTAACCCAATAAACCACTTCCCTAAACCAAAACAACAATTTTAAAAAATAATCCCTAAAAAGAAAAGCCCTCGTCTGATTTTTACCACTTTTCAGATTTTACCACATCCTGACCCAGTTATTTACTATTTTTGGGTTACCCGCTTCCTGAAAGTGTTCTTCACTGGACTCAAACCCTATCGTTGTGGTCAACAGCTCTCTGCATCTTAAGTCCAATGATGTACATGGTGAGCAAAAACCATCCACATGGAAGTAAGCGGTCAGCATTCGTAGCATTCGTTTTAAAGATGCAATGTAGAGATACAAAGCCCTGACTACATAATTCGTGATCTCCAGAAACGTATGTCTCATTTTCAGAATGAGTCTATGTTGTCTAAATTTTATCACTTGACCCAATGAAAAATAAATAATTTGCCTTAAACAATATTTGTTCTCCATGAGAACATTTTTTTTTAAACCTGGTACAAAGCATGTTTGTCTTGTTGAAGAAAGTCAATTAATTTAAATTCTCTTTAGGTTCAAAACAACAATTCCCGTAAAATGTTCATTCATCTAATTAAAACAATTAGGGTAATGGTTTTACACCTAAATTATAATCACTCAAGGCAATGAAAAATAATTTTTTTTGCCTTAAACAATATATTTTTTTAAGTCCATGAAAGTACAAAGCATATTGAGCTTTCATGTGAATCACCAGAAAATTGTACAATGGTTTAAATAAATATTTCTTAGTTGCGCTATTAATCAAAAACATTGATATTTACCTATTTTTTTTACTTAAAATATATTAATTGAAAAATAAAACAAATAATAATAAACTGAAATGAAAGATCCATTTTTTTAATTGAATGAAGTACTGCTTGAAAGTGTTTTTTCAGTGATAATATATTATTTTACATTATTATATACAGTATAAATGCTATATTATTTCTATATTTGTATAATGAGAACACTTGGTGCTCTCAATGTGATGAATACAAGGTACACACAGACCTCACACCCACACACACACACACACACACACACACTTAGCAATGATCCTCTCCACCTGGTTACCATTCCTCAGATGTGTGATGGAGTGAAAAATGCAAAAAAACAAAACCAAAAAAACACACACAACTATTTGGGCCGCCGCTGTTGTCTTTACGGAGAAGAAAACAGAGGGCTTTTACAGGCGGCTAACCTCAGCCAGGGTGGTCTAATGCTCACATATGCCGAATGGGACGTTTGTGTGTGTGCGTCAAAGCGGAGTAACAAACAAGATAAATTCTCATTAGCTGCTACATGCTCAGTAGAACTTAATCACTGGAGTGAAAGTCAAACAGCAAAGGGCGAAGGGGAAAAAGAAAGAGAGAGAGAGAGATTGGCGGACGAGGGCTGAAGACAGAAGAGATGCAAACAATCACGATAAAGGGATGATTCACACAAAAATGAAAATTCCGATGTTATTTAATCACGTTGGTATTGTTCCAATGGTATATGCTCTTCATTTTTTCAGACCACAAAGTCTGTATAAAGGCCAGGATTAAGCGTTTAAAGAGATGCAAATGTATGAAAGAATGATTCCATTCAAACAGTGGTTTGGTGGAAAAAAAAAATGCATTACTCAAAAAAAATCCTGACCTTGACTGTTAGCTGGCTTTCCGCTATCTGACAAAAAACAAGTGATAAAGCTTTAGCCATTCATTTTACAATGGAGGGCAGTAAAGCAGCTGTGTGTATTTGATGTATTACTTATTAATTACAAAAATAGAACGTAATTAAATTAAAACCTAATTTTACAGCCACCGTTTTTTCGGTGTACTTTTAAAACAGTTGTAGACAATAGCCCCTTTCTCACAGTGATACCGGTACATAAAAAAATTCTAGAATGATTTTACAGGTATATTCAAAAAAAGTGCTGTTCAAAGGACTGTACGGAATTTTTCAGGAAAAGACCATTCATACATCCATCCCAAAATACCGGTAAATTCTGACATCATAAACCAGAAATGACCTCTAAACAGCTGCACTTGTATTTGTAAACATTTGACAACATTACAAACTCTGTGGATAGATAAGTACTGTGAACAACAATGAAAACATATAGAGGAACACTTTCGCATGTCGAGATGTTCAGAATATATGTGTGTGCACACGCGTCAAGCAACTGAAGGAAGCAGAACTTAAAGGTAAACAAACAACGGCTTATCATAAGCATTTTATCTATAACTTTTTACACAGTTAGCATTAATAATGAACAAAGAAACATTATCTGGCTAACATCTAGCAGCAAAATGTGCCTGGAAAAATATTTTCATAAAAAATAAAAGCGCAGATGTGAATGCGGCTGAATGTTCTGATTGGCTAGAGTAGACGTCTTACGTCAGCGTGTTGTAAACGTAAACACGCTCTTTCCGGCAATTTTCCTTCTGCGTTCAGCACAGCACAGCATTCTAACAAATTACTAATTATGTTACAACTACTCTTTCCGAAAACTGCCAGAACTAATTTACCAATATTTTCAAAAAGGGCCTGTTCACACATACAGACCTGTCCAGAAAACTGCCTGTAATTTTCCGAAAAGGTCTGTATGTGGAAAAGGGCTTATATTATAAGCACTCCTGTGACATTTTGAATTCTTTTTCAAATATTTCCTAAATTGCAGGTTTACAGAGAGAAATTTTTTTAAATATATTTTAAAACATAATTTTAGTAATACATTTCTAAGAACTAATAATAACTTCTTTGCTATGATGACAATACATAATGTTTTACTAGTTATATCAATAGTATCTGGATGCAGCCTTTATGATGCAAGCTGAGATTGCATCACTCAGCGATGCAATGTCAGACACAATGCAATCAATGGAGTGAGTGACGTCACTGTGACGGGTAGGGTTAGAGGTGGGGTTATGTGAGCGCATTAAAAAGCATTGGATGCAGCTCAGATTGCACTGCACCAGGTCTGCAGACAGACTCCTCTCAGTTATTTTGCAAGATACTGGTTTTCAGCTTAAAGTGCATCATAAAGACTTCATTCCTTCATTCGTTTTCTTTTGGTTTAGTCACTTTATTAATCAGGGGTCTCCACAGAGGAATGAACCGCCAACTTATCCAGCATACGTTTTATGCAGCGGATGCCCTTCCAGCCGCAACCCAGTACTGGGAAACACCCATAAACATTTCGGCCAATTTAGCTTATTCAATTCACCTATAGCGCATGTTTTTGAACTGTGTGAGAAACAAGAGCACCCAGGGGAAACCCACGCGAACACGGGGAGAACATGCAAACTCCACACAGAAATGCCAACTCACCCAACCGGGGCTCCAACCACCAATTTAAAGACTTAACGAGTTTAATTAGGTTAACTAGGCAAGTTAGGGTTATTAGACATTAGACAAGTCATTTGATAGTAATGGTTTGTTTTGAAGATGAATGAATGAATGAATGAATGAATGAGCAAACGAACGAAGGAAGGAACGAATAAAGAAATGAACGAAAGAATGATTGAATAAATGAATGAATGAATGAATTAAATAAAATTTGTGTGGTTAATAATTTTGACCTTATAAATTAGGTTTTTTTTTTAAGTTAAAAAATGTTTTTATTCTGGCAAACAAATAAATAAAAAAGAAATATGACTTTCCCCAGAAAAAAACATATACTAGCAAACAGTGAAAGTATTTGGCAAATATTTGGAAAAGTATACAAATTTATTAGGGGGGCTAATAAATCCAATAAAAATATTTTTTTTTCCTCGCCTTTACTTCTATTTATATCTTTGTTTTACAAACATTGTATATGATTTTTTGTTTGTACTTTTTTATACTTTAAAAAAAGTGCTCTTTTCCCCTAATGCTAACAGTTTATTATTCTAAAATAAATGTAATATGTTGGTTATTAATAATCAATCCAGAAATAACAGTTAATTCATTATATATGTTGATTAGCCACAGTTCACTCCAGCTCACAAGAATAAAAAATGCAATCTAAATTTTATTCTAACTATGTAAACCTATTGCGTCCATCACAACAATCAGATTATTCTGTAAATTGCAATACCAATACAAACCGAAACTTCAATAAATAAAGAGAAAACACTTGTGAATTCACAAAATATAGAAACTGTTAATTAACAGATACTTTTTACTGTGTATCTTGACTTTTCTCTGCGTTTCATTTATGTAAATTGAAGAAATCAACGATTCTTCAGGTTAAAAATTAATAATAAATTAATGTGTAAATTTATGTATTTTTTACAGCAATACTATAAAAGAAATGCCACACAATTTGAAAAAACTTGCCTCAAAATCAGTCTTTTTAGTCACAAAAATCTAATTTGTTATTTTATAAAATCCTGGAAAGACAGTAACTTTTTAAAACTCTTCTTAAATAAGTTAAATGAATTTTTTTAAATTCATCTATAAAAAAAGGTTTGATGCTGGCCACTGTTCACTGCTAATTAATGGACTTCAAATTAAAATGTCTCCCTTAAAAAATATAAAAGCATATGGTATTGGAACAAAGCACCAGTGCCATTATTGCCTCAGTTTTCATTTTTGGATGCACTATCCCTTCAAGACCTTTACAAGTGAACCTCAAGCATCGCTGCTCACGCTGCGATGCGCACACACCTTCAGTGGTTTTTGACTGTGTGGGTCTGTCTCTTCGCCCTCCACAGCCGTGGTTTTACGCTTGGCAGCAGTCAGGTGGTACCTCTGGATGACCAGCGCCTCTTTGAACTCCTCTTGAGTTTTACTCTCTAGCAGCTTCTGTCTGAAGGAGATGTCGGAGAACATGCTGGCAAACGTCCTGCCCAGCTCCATCGCTGTCTTAGTGCTTTTCTGAAAAAACACAGATCAAACATGAAGCCTGTTATATTTGGTGGTCATTAATTATTTATGGATATTAAGGTCTGTGAATGAGAATTATACTGATGATAGCAATGAAAAATGTAGGAGTACAAACACAACAATATTCTGTTTATTAAAAGTACATGCAGATTTTTAAGACTAAAATAATAGTCTTATTACTAATTTATGGAGGATTATTTGACACTGAAGACACATATTCCTTTTGTTTAAAATTAGGTTTACTTTCAAAAGTATTGGACAATATTACCGCTGCATTGCATTTTGCTCCAATAAATCTTAGTGAGCAGAAAAGCCCTCTTTCAAAATCATAAACAATTCTAAATGTTTCCAGATATTAGTCTATTTAAATGTCTATTTCATTTTAACTCAAGAATTCTATGGCAAAATGTCCTCAAATAATCTGTATTTTTTAATAATTTTTTTACATGGTCCATGTTTGCCCTGTCCTTGACATTCATGATTTTTGCTTTATCATCTTAGGTTTTATATCCATTTAAGTTACATAACGTTCATGTCATTCTCTTGTTTTGAACACATGGCAAGAAAAGAGGATCAAGAGTATCTGCACGTGCCTGTATGACAATCCAGCTTTTAATGAAATGAGAAGATGCTTGTTTGTGTGTGAGGCCATTTCTTTCTTTTTAAAAGCTCAGAATTACCAAGCAAAAAAAGTTATCTATATTGCATGGTGAACTACAGAGGACAGAGAAAGAGAGAGAGCGAGAGAGAGAATTGAGAGAGAGAAAGAGAGTGATTAGATGTAAACAGATGTAAACACATACACACAAACACACAGATTTATGATGTAAACACAGACACAAAGAGATACACAGAATAGTCTTGGATGGAGCCGAGGGCCCCAAAGCCTTTACGGTTAGACTGGAAGGGGAGCGAAAAACACAGGACCAGGACTTTAAGACTTAAATATGATGGTATTAGTGTGTCTGAGCCTGCCTTGAATAATATCGCATTAATATTTCAGATGCCTCTATATATATCAAAGCATTTAAACAGAACAAACACTGACTTTTTACTCAAGTTTTGCCCTGCAAGACTCTGATAAACCATTTCCATATTTTTCAAAGTGCATAGACAGTTTGTTGCTGGGTTTAGCCTGTTGGGTTATGAGTGAAGGTGTGTGTTTTCAGTATTTTTGTGTTATCCAGTTGATCTTACTGAGTATGTTTACATGGACACCCATAATCTGATTTTAATATGATGATTAAGACAATACTCTGATTAAGAGTCTACCATGTAAACAGCAATGACCTTAATCCGACTAAAGTCATAATGGAACTAAACATAAATGGAATTAAGACATGTGGAGTATGTCAATTTTATTCATATTATTGAAGTGCAGTATAGACATGTAAACACCACAATCCTGAATGAAAGTTAAAGTGGCAAACTGCAGTTAAAGTCGATAAATTAAAAATGAAACATCCAAAATGACATAAAACTTCATAGGTAATGTGGATAGCGTGGTGACGCAATGACGTTAATCGAATTATGTGCTATACCATGTAAAACGGGATCATGAAAGGAATATTCACAAACACCTTAATGTAAACACCTTAATCATATTATCATCTTATTCAAATGAATGCAAATAATTTGATTACTGATGTCCATGTAAACGTAGTCACTGACAGCTGAAGCAATACAACAATTAACCTATATATGAGGACGAAATTAGTTTGTGTGTCTTAAAAAAAACAAATTAACTGTTTGATTAGTCAATTATTACATTAATCAATTATTAAGTTGTCAAATGAGGTTAAAAAAAAACAATGCAAATTAATCTTATTTTAATTTATCAATTTTACTATCACTCCATTGTTTAGAATATACATACATACATATATTCTAAACATTCATTTACACTGTGTGAAAAAAGTGTAACATGATAAAACGATGTTCTTTTCTAAATTAACATGCTATTTAAATTAATATTTTTAGTTACAATAAAATATAATTTGGTTATAATCTATGCTTTATTTAAATATATAATATAATACATTTTAATATAATACAATATAATATAATATAATATAATATAATATAATATAATATAATATAATATAATATAATATAACTTAACCTAACTTAACTTTTTATTTTTATTATTCATTTTCTTTTTAGCTTAGTCCCTTAATTAATCCAGGGTTGCCACAGTGGAATAAACCGCCAACTTATACAGCACGTTTTAAGCAGCGGATGCCCTTCCAGCTGCAACCCATCTCTGAGGAACATCCAATTCACCATCACATGTCTTTAAACTGTGGAGGAAACTGGAGCACCGAAGGAAATCCATGCGAAAGCAAACTCTACACAGAAAAGCCATCTGACCCAGCCGAGGCTCGAACCAGCGACCTTCTTGCTGTCTTGCTTTGAGGAGACAGCACTACCTACTGCGCCACTGCGTCGCCATAATATATAATATAATATAATATAATATAATATAATATAATATAATATAATATAATATAATATAATATAATATAATATAACCTCAAAATTATTCAAACAGATTCTGCAAATAACAATAAAACAATACATTCTAAAGAGTCTTTAGAAAACAGAACAAACAACATAAATTTCATTAATTAATATTCAATTATTTAACACCCTTAAAATTTACAGTGTTCATGTTACACATATAGTAAATTAAGACTAATTACATGTATTTAATCTTAAACTAAACCCTACTCCTAACTCTATAATAAATACGTTTTGTTCAGGTTAATGTATATTAAAAACACCTTTAAAAGCAACTGAAACTATTTCATACACACTTTTGTGTAACATCTTTTCCCTCCAGATCTTACACTAAGCAAATATTTGCAATTAAAGCCATTTCTTTCACATAAACCTGAGCTAATGTCCTCACACCCGATACATTTTATGCACATTAATGAGGCCATTACCATCTTTGAAGGTGCCAGGATGAGGATGACGTAACGGACCTCAGCGCAGTTTTCCCCCCAGTTCTGCGGCCGATCCAGACGTGAGATACACACGTGCCGCCTCTGCAGGTTCTTCACATTACAGCTGTCACAGAGAGTTCATAAATCATCATAAATCCTCTTACGATTTACAACAGGGCTTTGATGTACCTGGCACAGTATCAGATTAATTCAATATGTAACAGGAGTACAGCAAACACATTAACAAATCCATTGGTTGAGGTCTAATGGGATTACAGAAAGCTCTTGAACAGGGGTGTCAAAGGAAGATCTGCTTGTGGGACGATGGGCAAACCCATAAACGGGTATAAAGTTATAAAAATGCGCACAAGTCTGAGGTTATTATCAACTCAATTAACCATATTAAAAAGAAAAGATCCACTTAGTGCTCTTGACTGAGTCATTTTATATATAGTAAGTGAAATTAATCAAATATTACCATAAAGGTCGGTATAAGGAACACAATTTAAATACTTTGTTCCTCATCCAATTTATTTAAAATCCACCTTAAAAAGTTACACTTTAGAATTAACCACAAACTGCAATTTCTTTTTTTTTTTTTTTTTGTATTTTGACACAGTTCCTAGAGAAACTAAATACTTAATGATAAAACAGGCTTGTTTTTTCCACTGCAAGCTAATTGGATGTAGTAAAGCAGGCATTTCCTCCTCACTTTTTCTGTTTATTGTGATATCAGTCAAAGCTGAAAGTTGGAGGGGCGTGGTTAAGTATGTTAGCCATGCCCAATGCCACGAATGACCAAATAATAATTAAAATAATAATTTCTTACATTTATATAGTGCTTTTCTCGGCACTCAAAGTGCTTTACACATTGGGAAATCGCCTCATCCACTACCAGTGTGCAGCATCCACCTGAATGACGCGATGGCAGCCATATTGCACCAGACCACACACCAGCTGATTGGTGAAGAGGAGACAGAGTGATGAAGCCAATTATGATATGGGGATTGCTAGGAGGCCATGATGGACAGAGGTCAGTGGGCAAACTTGGCCAGGATGCCAGGGTTAAATCCCTACTCTTTTCGAAGGAGATCCTAAGATTTTTAACGACCACAGAGAGTCAGGACCTCGGTTTAACGTCTCATCTGAAAGACGGCACTCATGGGGAAATAGGACCCCTGCTGGCCTCACTAGCACCACTTCCTGCAGTATCCTAGTTTCCCATGTGGTCCCCAATCCAGGTACTGATCAGGCGCAGCCCTGCTTAGCTTCAGTGGATAACCATGTGAGTTGTAGAGAGCTAGCTAACAACCAGAGAGGTGTTTCATGGCCTTAACCATTTGACTGTCCGCTCTACTAAACATTTGACCATGTGTTAAGTGTTTTAAATAATGAATGTTAAAATCATTCGAAGACTGACTGTTTTAAATAATGGTTTACACATTCAGCATTGTTGGCTTACAAGAAAATCAAACAAACATAATCCTGTTGCACTACTATACTTGATTTTGGTTTTACTGAGAAAAAAAAGAAAAGAAAAAAACAGAAAGCTTGTAAATGAGAACCTAAAAATATTTTATGGCATAGTCCAAAAATTAAAGATTATTTAGGGCTCGATTTTGACGATCCATACGCAAAGTGCAAAGCGCAGGGTGCAAAAGCATTAAGGGCGTGTCAGAATCCACTTTTACTATTTTAAGGATTTTAAAAAATCCACTTTGCGCTGTGGCACATGGTCTAAAAGGGTTGAGCTTATTTTCTTAATGAGTTATAGGTGTGTTTTGAGAATAAACCAATCAGAGTCTCATTTCCCATTCTCTTTAAGTCAGCTGCGTCGCGTTATAGCGCATTTGCTATTTACATGATGGACTTTGTAAGTGGAAAAACGGAAAACAGTTAAACAGAGCATCTACAGCATGAGAATGAGAGATGAGCCTCCTCATCGTGGATAGGGAAACTTCTTGTACGCACAGACATCCATTAGCCAATAAATAATTAATTTTGTTTGTTAAGCGCAAAGATTTTTTTCAAAACTATTTATAAATTCAGTTCTAATTTCCAGCAAACAAATAAATGAACAATAATAACAAAATGTGTTAAAAAAACTAAGTTATATCTTAATACACATGCTGTGGTCTAAAACCTGACAGGGGGGCAAATCTAAGCTTGTTTTTAATAAAACAAATATAAATATGGATATAAAAAATAATACTGCTAATAATAATAACATTATGCAAAAGCAAATTGTTATGAATAAACGGAAAAAGCCACCAGAGAAGAAGAAGGCATAAAGGTATGGTTTTTATATTTATGTATGCTAGAAAATAACATGTTTGTCATATTTTAATCCTTTATATTTATATCCTATATATATCCTTATTGTATCCTATATATATCCTTAATATTTTAATTATTTTTCATAAGTAAAGATATTTGCGTATTGCTGTACATCCTGTCTGTATTAAGCAATGTGTAAGTGAGGTGCACAACTAACGCACTTTGCGTTGGACTGGCTTTGTTCTGGTCTATAGAACAGTCTATTACAGTTTCTCAATATAGCAATGCACCAGCAGTGTGCCTCAATATTCCTCCTTTTTTAGACTAGAATGCCTATGTGCGGCACATATGAGCGCAAATGCATTTGCTATTTAAACAGCGTGGCGCAAAATGTCAAAACGACTCTTGCGCCAAGCTGAAACTAGCAAACAACAATTGCGTCGCACCTTGCGCCAGGTGTATGATAGGGCCTCTTAGTATTTAAAAATGTTTTATTTTGAATATTTTTTAAAAGTAAATTGAGCTAACACTTTATATTTTTCAGATATGCATAGTATATGCATTAATTCCACTACTTTTACCATAAACAACATATCAACCATTTGGTAGAAGTTGATATTTTAGAAATTATGGGATGTGTTAAAAAATGCATTGAGAATGTGTTATTAGCAACATTAGGAGTTAAGAAATGCTATCCAATTTTTTTTTATTGGTGAGGCAGTTAAAAGGTTAAGGTTAACTTTTCATATTTCTCGAAGTTTCAAGAGGGAAAATATTGACCCTCAAGCATGACCAAATGATCAGAGAATGGTCTCATGACCTTAAGATTAACCTTCTCCAAATTTTAGGAGGTAGAATATTGACTCTATGATAATCATGCTAAATCTACTAACCATAAATTTGTGCAATCAAAAATAATATACAGCTAGTTGAGAAAGAGAGCGGGCTCATTCTTCTCTCTTAACTCATAGGCCGACCTTTGGCCAGCACCCAAATTTCGGCTATAAATGTGAGGCTTTCTTGCTAAAAAATTAGAAGCTCAGCTGTGAGATAAGTGCACATCGCCTGGCATTCTCGGACACAAGTGTTGGTTTTCCAATGTGACTGCTACGGGCTCCCCAATCTTTGAAGAAGAAAATGATGGTATGTCTCTGAAGTTGTATTAACTTATATCGAATTGCTTGGGGTTTCATTATCTCTTTTATTCATGTAATCATTATTACTCATCTTTAAATAATTTAATTTAATTAATGATTTTTGATTATTATTGAGATTATTGATATTAGCTGCGTGCAATAAACCAGCAATAAACAGTTGCTTGATTAGTATGGTGTATGCTCCAATATTGATGCCTTCTCTTGTTGATTAGGATCACACTTTTCTCACTTGCATAAACACAAACCATACTAAAATCTTTTTGGCATGCTGAAACATTTTACATACTAAAATTTTGGGGCATACTAAAAGAGCTTACAAAACCAATATGGCTAGTTTTGATTTCATGTGTACTTAAAAAAAATATATTGTAATATGTTACTGCTAAAATCTTTAGATTTTCTCAAAGTATCATTCAGCTTTGGTTCAAACTTTAAAGTGTAATTAATCTAAATTAAATATATTTGATGTGGTCAGGAAAACAAATTTCATTAACACAAAGTAAAAATATTTTTCATTAATTATAATTTTGTCTTTGGTTCAAGGTAGATTTATATTTATTTAAGTTTTTTATTTTTATTTTAAACCTTACATCAAAAAATATTTTTGCTTTGAACCAATCTTAGTAATCTCCTGTCATTTGTTGCAGCTAAATTTATAAATGTCTCCCCAATTATAGTTTTGACTTAGGTGACGTTTCTGGTTTACTCTTTTGAGGTGAAGTAATGCTTTTAAATTTTTCTATTTGTTTGTTTTTTATTAAGGCAAAAACCATATTTTTTCACTTAGTCCAATATAAAACGTACTTTAAAGGGCACCTACTGTGAAAAATCTACTTCAAGCTGTTTGGACAGACGAGTGTAGGTAGAGTTTATAGACCGTCATATCGGGGTGATATAAACACACACAGTCCTTTTTTTCAATTTAACAACATAAAAACGGTGGACCAATTATAGCTGTTTTTACATCGACCGCAACTTGGTCCCTCTGCCCATCAGTATTGATTGACAGCTGCGCTTCACCATACCTTCAGTTTGTTGTTTCTTGTCCGCCATTTTCAGCGTGAGAGTCAAAGCTATGACACTAAAGGAACACCCTTGCTCTATTTTTATATGTAAGGCTCATTGGGCTCAACACAAGATCAACATTCACCACATGATCGCTTTAATCGGAATTATTGTTTGTAAGTTAGTTTGTTTGTAGGTACAGTAGGTTTGCAAACTTGTACTTTTCATTGCATCTACCTCAAACTTCAGTCGTTATTTCTGCAGTCACAGAAGCCACCTGTGATCTTAACTAAACACAACAGCGCTTCCAGCTGGTGGCTGTCCGCGGCACTCAGCCACGATTCGGGACACTTCATATTTACGCCACGCCAAAGAGCGCCATCTGAATAGTTTGATATTAAATAACATGCGAATGTGCGTGTCTGGTGTTGTGTCGCACCTCTGAGCGGAGCATCTGGTGCCTCAGACAAAGTTAATTCAGTGTGTGTGGTTATTAGTCTCAATATACAAGCTCGGAACTTTAAACTAGGAGTTTCCTGTATCATTTGGCTGTAAAACTATACAAAGACACAAATGATTTTGTAGCCTCTGCTTGGTCTGTATCTGAGTTGTACATGTACGGCTGAATGCTGTTTCTCTCACTCATGTGGCTTCTCTTTGTCTGCCTGTCTTTTGCCAAACACAG